AAGCGTCGGAAATGCGGCCGCTGAGTCTCCCCGCGATGTAGAGAGAAAAAGCGCGCACATGTAATTCTTTCATATATGCTCTCCAGGAGCGTTCTATACGAAGTAGTTAGTTTTTTTGCCATGAAACGAAATTTATAGGATAAATTTCCAGTGTACCGCATAGATATGTGCATATACATCTTTTAGTATTATTATTTATCCAAAAAATTATGTAAGTTCATCTTTATCATCAAAGCGGTGATGAACCTAAAAGTTCAACTATATTGACAAACCTAAGTGTAAGCAATAGATCTACAGTTTTCTGCTTATTTTTTACGAGGTCAAACGATTAGTTGCAATAAACAGAGCTTTTATCACACGCCCGTTATCTTCTCAAGTTTGCAGGGCTGTATTGCGAATGCTTTGACTAACACGCTTGGTTTCACACCAGTGTAGCACCACTCAGGTTAAAAGCATACAAGCTGGTCTCTATGGTGCCCCTCAATTTACATAGACTTCTACGTTTCTATGCTGAACTTCCGTACCGAGTTAAGCCTTTTGTTAGATTTAAGTTAATGCCGCTGCGAAGAAAATTCAGCCGAAGTGCAGAGGCGCATACGTGTTTCTAAAGAGAATACATGTTTGTTTGGCTGGGTAATCATGAACGTTACGTAATACATTTCTGCACCTTAAAAAGTCAAACTAATACGAAGAGTTGCTACTAACCTAGCCAAGTCAAAAACCACAGGAAAAAAAAATCACATTCCTTACAGCCCCGACATACTGTATATACTGTTGCCCGACGCTGTGGCCAGGGAGTTTTTCAGGCTGCCATTCTCGTCTTGGCAGCCAAATACGAAGGCTGACGCTGAAAGAGGAGCGGTCGTAAAGTGCGTTCTGAAAAATTTTTCACCGGCCTCTAATCCCTGCCGCTAATGAAATGAAGCGCCGACGATCGAGTAAGCTGGCCGACGAGTGAAGCTCAAGGAAAGCTCTGGATTCACCGTCTGAAGTCGTCGCATGCACGTCGATGATTAAAAATACTACGAGTCGAACTGAATCGGACTGGACTTCGACTAAAGAAAACTTTTCATTGTCATCCGGAATTATGCCGACGGGCATTTTTGGCAGTATTGCCAACAATTCACTTAGTGTTTAGGAAACTGCCGTACATTGGATGATAATGTCGATGTTTATTGTCGAAAAAACTTATACACATTTATACCAGATATTTATTAGCTACATTATTGTATTAACGCTCATTAACACTAAACATACCGATACCTCTTGTAACCCTGTTCCTTGAGGACCCGGTCAAGATAAATGAAGTCATCCTTTTTGAAATATTTCCTAGCCAGATTTTCCATGTTGTGAAGTTTAATTACGAAATGATAACATTTATATATGTGAACTTGTAAAAAATCCAAGTGGATAAATTAACTAATAATAGTATGGTTAGTATTAAAACATACAGATGGGTTAAACGAGTGAACGACTAATTATTGTTGAAATTAGGTCGATTTATGCACACTAATTGAACAAAACAAGATACGATACGACCTTACAAAAGGCCATATTTTTGCCTAAATCATTCTGGATTTAAAAGTTGTATGAAAAATTCTTACCAGATCGACTGCAAAGCGCCTCAATATAGAATTGTAACAAAATACACTGCTATAAAGGCAGCTGCGGTGAACAGGTAGTAGGTCTATTTAGAATGCAAATGTGGTAAGATTCCATTATCTATAGCCAACCGAAACGTCCGTTTAATTACGACGCCACTTCCCCGTCTAAGCGTTTAGGGCAGTCTCTCAAAGTGAAGCGCGCAAGACTGCTTTGAGGCCAAGGCGCTTAAAATCTGTCCCAACGTTCTGACGCAGGGCGTCCTTCTAACTGACTTTCCCTAGAGAAATGGTCTTTCTGAAAGTCTTCGTCCACTCACGCTGCTTGGCCATCCACTGAAAAGCTCGTAAACCAATCTAGATTCAAGTCAAGCTTGGCGAGCTCGGTTACTCCATTTTCGAATCAACTCTGTAATGCTTAACAATTGGAACAAATTGGCAGTCTCGAAATATAGTTTCGCTCGAATTCTGACGCTCGGACTAAAGAGCGATATATGGCGTCAACCAAACGGGAAAAGGACCCAGAAGACCTTTCTCAAAGATATTAATGGGAACTAATTAACACACTAATAAACACATAGAAGGTTACTGAAATAATAATAAGTTACGAGTTAAGTGCTACATCCGTAGTAACAATAACAACTATATCAAGCAATGCTCTCAGGTATGTTCAAGTCGGCTATATGTATGTAAAAGGCATTTTTTAATGTGCTTGAATTGATTCTTTCATCCCTTTTTTTTTTTTTTTTTCTAGAGAGCGTATACATTTAACATCCAGGTCGATACGCACAATTCAGATATCAGAAGACCTTACGGAAGAGCAACAGAATTCGATAGTCAGACTCAGACAGCAAAAGTGAGTGGGTCGAAATATTGAAGTGGGCAGTTAACAAAGTAGCCCAGAAGGTGAATGATAATGTCTTTGTCATTAAGAAAAACTAAAGCAAAAGACGAAAACGGTACGCAACGTAACGGGGAGACAGGATCATTTAACTGCGCTACAAAAAAATCAGTTTCTCAACTGAGTCCAGAGGTGTGAAGGTTTTTTGACGTTGTATCGAAATAAGTCATTCCAGCTTCGGTGGATCAGCCAAAAAATCGTTAGCTCTAAACTCTCTGCACATATATTCGTGTTTCAAATAGGTTAAGCCAGGTAGTATAATATTAAAGAAGGTCGTTTTGAATGAATCATACATTTGGTAATAATGTTTAGCGTATTTAGGCAATAGATCCTTTGTAAGCCTGCAGGTCAAAAACTCAACAAAGACAATTGTGTGATCCGTAATTTCCGCTCAAGGTGCAGGAGACCTACATTTGTCAACGGGATTACGGAAAAAAATGAGAACACAGGGCGCGAGAATTGTTCCAAGATGAGATCTTTGTATTAACGCGCGACAAGCCATTATGTCATTGACCTTAAACTACTCATCGCTAATAATATTAGAGCTCTGCCATAGCCTGAAGATTCATCCAATATGAATCCAATAAAGAACGTATGGTATTATATCAAAGAGCGAGTCAGAGCTGAACAGGAGATTACGAACGCCTCATAACTACAAAATTACACTGTCTTATATATAGGCCTAAGACCTTGGCATGACTGAAATTGCGTGTTCGGATCATGCAGAACCGCACTGCAACAGTAACCGCAGCCAGCTATGGGGGGCCGAATACTGGCCTCAGTGCCTTAACTTCTACGGTAGTTAAAAATGCGTTAAAAAACAGTGTTATCAGATGTGCCACCGCCAAAAGATAACGAATGGCAGATTCTTCACAAAATACACCATGTGTGTATGTTCGAGTGCACACGTATTTTCAATTCTGCTTGGCAATCTGTAAAATTTCTAAGTAGCCTTATTTGATTGGTTAATGACGATATATATAAAAAAATAGCTTTTATATATCCATGAATGAATGCAACAAATATATATAAGCAGTGAGCAACTGCGGGTATACATCGCTTTGCTTACTTAAACCTTTCACGCTAATGAAATTGTAGAAATTGTAATATATAGAAAAATGCCGTACTCAGATCCGAAGAATGAAATCCACCTATAATTTGAGAGCTTTCGAGTACTATCATATTTTAGTATGCCTGAAAGCCAGGTAGGGCTGGTCTTAACGCAGTTCAGCTAGTTGACATTAAACCCCAACCGTTATCATTTGTTGACTCGCATTACGGCAAATGAGCAACACGTAGTGTTCTTTTATATAACGGTATAACGGGATCGCCAAGGCTTCCCGCATAGCTTATTGGGCCCTCAGCTGTTTCCCGCATAATACGCCATTGAAATGCACATACTGTATTTCCTATTCGAAAAAGTATCAGCGGAAACCCGCCGGCATGAGCCTTTTGCACTGCCGCGGATATTGGCCACTTACGGAATTGTCAGACGTTGTGTTAGTATCATTGTGGCAACGATAAACAGGAGTGGTATTGGTAACTTTGCCTCATCGATTCGGCTGAGTACAACGAGTAAAACAGTATATGGCCTTTGGAATTAGCACACAATCGCTACTCAAGAATATTAGGGTTAGTTCGTTCGATGCGAACCATCTTGTTAATAGAAACCTTTTCGCAATGAGCTACTGCCGTAGGGACATTAGCGCTCACGTTTGTTCTAAGGAAATGTGATATTTACATAAAGTGTTTTAATATAATAACACGGAAAAAAAAGCGTATTTTTGAAAAATCAGTTGTCGCTGACTTTCAACTATACACGCTACGCCTGTCGAAGGAGAGCTCAAGTAATTGCAGCAAATTGGGACAAAGAAAAAAAAAAGGATAATTCTGTGTATGTACACATGCGTTCCGTTTTACTGCAGTTCATACATAAAATACGCTTTGATTAGACAATAAGGTCTGATTTTACCAACATTTTACCTGACCGTTAGGAAACTGCATTGGCCTCGAGGAACTTTTAAGTTTATCAGACCAAACTCAGCTATAAACAGGTGAAATATCAGAAACTTGACGTACCGATATGCGCTACCTGTTCAACATTATTTTTACTATGTAATTATATTATAGAGGTCCTCAGAAACTTCAAACTTTTTCAATCCATAATCGGACGTATTGCCCCTGGCTGTCAGGTGCGAAACAAAAACACAACGGGAAATAGTTTCTGTTTAAAAAAACCGGCGGTTCGGTGGAAAAACTGACAACAAATCAAAAAAACTATCATAATTCACATATTTCATAATAACAAAGCAACGTACAGACGCTAATATAGACGAAATAATGGATGTTGGGATTTTGGATTAGACGGCATGGCTGGTGTCATCCACAGACTATCGTAAGGATCGTTAGTAACCTTACTTCAAGGGTGGCCTACTTAAGCGAATCATGGTTGTAGATAACGGCTGTATATAACCAATTATATTATGCTGTTACCCTGTACATATGAAACAGGCGTATTATCACAAACTGAGTAGACTTCTTTATTCTTTTAGCTTGGAATCCACCTTTTTCTCACGTAACAAACTACAAGTTATTACAAATCCGTGGTACATACAATATCCGTATCTTATCTCTTGTTATGCAATCTTGCATGAGGCAAAAGAAGAGTCTTAATCATTAATTTTATAATCACCTATCTGACGGCTTTAAAATGATCGCATATTTACGGCAGTGTTTGATTTCAAGGTTTCCTTTAAGCAGACCGAGGACACTATGATTCGGCACGTCATATCATAAGTTTACGCCATTCTGCAAATTGAACCCGCCCTAGGTTTTCTTATGATGCAAAGAACTTTCCTTCCAAATCTTATAGGTCTTTCTAGTCGCAGTCTTCGATCAATCCCAACAGCTCACGTTGTTCCGTATCGATTCTGCTTCTGTCTCGGCGATTTTGTGATAAGTTGTCCACAACTTTCTCCCAGAACTTCCGGTCCTGAGCAGTTCCGGCATCAGCGGTAATTTTTGATCTTTTTAGATTGAGATTTTCGAGCAATCTTTCTGGAAAGAAAACGTACATTACGTTGTAACTTGAAGAGCATATATGGATAGCTATAGAAGGTAAAAATACGTAACGGGCTCCATTTTTGCAGTCACGCGACATTTAGAATTCGGCAATCCATTTAAATTTTCAGAGAAACATTTAGTACAATATTGTTTTAAGTAACAAGTGTTCTTTGTCAACACATGCGCAAATGAAGAAGTGCATTTTTTCATTGTTCTTTTTTAGAAGTCATGTTTATTAATCCTGAATGTAGAAAAGAAATTGGGGGTGAGCTGTGACTATTTTACAAATGACAGATTTACAAAACTATATATACATTTATTTATCTCAATCGGAACTAGGTTCGCCCTTGACATTTGCATCGGCAAGAGAACACGAATTAGGCGTCATATATAGTACACTGCTGCGGAGGAAATAGCTTACCTCGCGTTAGCTTCAGCCTACGGATACTCGCGAGTCGAGTTCGTTCCTTCTCCTCGAATTGGCTTTCTTCTATCCGTTTTAATTCACGACACCTTCAAATGGTAAATTTTAATATTAGATGGTCTTGACGAGCCCATGGAAAAGGAAGAACTGCAGATCAGCTTCTGAGAAAGCTTAATTAACCATATCGAAGAAACCTTCGTCAATTCTCATAAACGTCAGCGCAAAGCGAATTCTGTCAGTCTTAAAATTTGCATTATCATGAATAAACTCTATTAATAGGTATGGTGTTTCAGTGCCTACCGTGCATGTTCCTTGTATATTCGTTTCTGGTAATCTTTCAATTCCATATCTATGGCTTGTTGTCGCTCCTTTACGCCCAGCTGAAGAGCCTCGCAAAAAGCGACCCATTTTTCTTCATGTTGAGTTCGGCATATGCTTTCACTTTCTGTAATATTTAAAATGGGTTTGCGCAGTTCAAGTGACGGCGTAGACAGCGCCTAGTAGCAAAAAACGGGTGTAAACATTTTACATAGAAGGAACTCTAGAAAGACTAGAACATTCTCATTGAGTTCGACTATTTATCCAGCAACACCGACTGAGTAAACACCTGCTAACTTCCAAGTGCGTTTTAACAAAGTACTCAAGAAGAAGCTAGCTTATAGGAGACGTACTATTAATCTCACTAATTCTTTCTCTTATGAAAGCCTCTTCAGTCGCTTTTTGGTCGTCTATCAGAATAAGCTTCTTCACGTTTGACTCGTAGAGATGTCTCTGCTCGGCCAATGTGTTTGTCAAGTCCTGCATTTTCTGCTTCAATTCCATGTTTTGGTTTGCCTGCAGACCCTTACTCTATGGCAGTAAAAATAGCGTTATGACTGATTTGAAAATAGATGCGGTAACTGGCCCGCTCCTCTTCTACTCCAAGTTACAAATATCTTTGCACCTCTATCATCCATACAGAAAACGTTTGAAGGCATTTCTTTCGGCACCTTAAAAATCCAACCTGTTCAATGTAGGTTCGCGTCCTAATCTGAAGGTTCGCATCCCTTAGTGCAGTTAATCTCGATTGCAGCACCTGCGACTGAGCCTCCGTTAACTCAACCTGCTTTCGAAGCTCTCGTTCATACGCACAAAAATGTGCTTTACGCAGCTGATCACATGAATAGTATATTATGAGGATTTTCGTTGCTAAAACATTCTAAAAACGATAGATAAATGTATCTTGAAATGTCACCGAGATAAGTTAAGTTGAAAATTCACGATCAAGCTGCAATAGCGTTTTGGTAACCTGTTTCCTAAAGGATAATTCATTATCCACGTACAAACGTTCAGCTATTTATTATATTTTACTGTTGTTAATTAAATGGATAGGAGCTTTCTATAATATTGTATTAGAGCTATAGCATTTAACGACGTAGCGATCTAACGGACTGTATAATATTTTTTGACTTTAGCTGGAAAAAGTCAGGGGTTGCTGGCTGAAGCCTTACCAAAGGTGAAAGTATTAGACTACTGTGTGCTTAGATAGGAAAATAGACTACAGCGCGTTACCTGTTGCTCTTGTCGAATCGCGTTGGCCTTACGAATCAGATACGTACGGTTAGACAAACTTAGCTTAGGAACGTTGACTCCTGCCTCGTTTTGCCGACAACAGTCAGTGAAATCCATCCGTATTAGTTGAAGCCTGTCGCTGACTTCATCGCGACAATCCGCTGCGTCAAGACAAGTAATATAAGATGAACAGTCACTGTCAATAGAAATTGAAGGTTTGTCATAGTCCATCGCATGAAATTTACATTATACTTCAGTTTTTTACTCTATAATCTTCGTGACGTATTGAAGTTGGGCGGCTATTATGGGGTTGATAAGACCATTTTATCTCTGCACAGCGTAGCTTTTCCTTGTGCTAATAGTGTTAGCTTTCTTTTTGCGATTTGGCCTTTTCAGGTTTTCCGTGTGCGTTGAAAGGTTAACTAGGCAAAGCCGGTCTCATAGTTTAATAACGGGTTGATGTGGGCGTATGATTTTATCGGCCAGCATTTGAATGACGCGGAAAATTATCGATTAAGCCTATCACTCTATGTGAACTTGTATCAAGCATTGTGTCACTGCCTTTAGAGTGTCTATAGAAGGAAAGTCAACACTTATTCGTTGTGTTATACCACATCGTCATCATATAGGAAAATGCAACCACACACAATACGCTCCATATTGTTGTTTTGGCGGATTTTTTTTAACGTATCGCTTCTACAAATGACGCTTGCTTAGCTGAACGTTTATCGAAATCGTCTCATTGTGTGTGTCGTTTTATCGAGCCAAAAAGAAAAACTTAGAAATGTAGTTAGCGAGTTTGTGTAGGGTGTGGAAAATATATACTGCAATAAGCCAGTCACATGAGATACAATTCTGCTAAATGTTTATGGCTGGAATGTGTCATTTACGTTTTGTATTACGTTTGCAAAAGATAACGTTATTTGTGACTAACGTGACATTATGTTTATTATAAAATACTGGATCATATCATACCTCTATAATTAATAAAAAAATATATATATTAGTATAAGTACAACCTACATTTATAATAGTTAGTACACATTAACTAGAATAGCACCTGTTAGTGTCGTTAAGATCCTCATCCGCAAGGATTTGTGCAAGGGTTCCTAAATACCCGTAAACGCTTTTCAGGACAAACAAGGTCATCTTTTTAACCTGGCTAACCATGAAATTATATTGAAAATTATTATGGAAAAATATGTATCAACTGTGATACAGTTTATGTAAATATACTATGAAACTGTATTGCATGACACCTTTGTATCACTTATGGTAACCACCTTACCACGACTTATAGTCGTTTCAGGGGAGAACCTCATGTTATATATACAAAGGCCGATCTAGCGTACTTGATCATACGTACTTGATTTGCCGTCGAAGCAGCTACTGTAGTTAGTACCTGCTAATTTAGGCCCGCATAAAACTGACGCGTCGCCGGAACCTATTCGTCGACCTTGCCGTCCGCACCAGGCTGCCATTTTCTCACCAGTGTTTTTCCTGCCGTTACAAAAGCCAAAGATTCGAGGTAACCGAAGGCTCAAGAATGCTCAAAGCAAGAGTTCCTGCTAGAGTATCGGATAGCCGTAGAGAATTATTTTCGCCCGAACATTTCAGGCTGCCAATTGTACACATTCTAGATGTGAAAACGCGTACATTTTTAAAAACAATGAAAAAGTGGGAATTTTTTTTTGTTTTGTACTGCATCGTTAGCTTCGTAGCATATTATCACTACTTATTGCTCGCTTAACTACTACTGTTTACTATACATTGCGCAATACTGATTTCCAAGTGACGATTAAATTGCTGAGGTTGTCGTATGCGATCTTATTCGTAGGTTGATCCTAACTTTCGCTCAGGAGACACGATAGCCACTCCGTAACAATAGCAGCATTTATCCGTCGTCTAGTGCATTCAAAGCCTTGCTTGAATTTCGTGGTCGGCGACGCTGATACCCGTCGAAAATAACTTTCGTAATATTAGACATATATTAGCTCTCTTATTTCTTCCAAGAAATATGGGAAACATTTCACTTCTTCGAGCCCGAGCGAACCGGCGGTGAGTTTTTTGGGGACGTGTGTTGTTTTTTTATCCGCAAGGATCATACATGCAACCTGTAATCATAGAGTTATGTGTGCGCATGTGTATAACGCGCATTCACGTATCGTTTCTAAACGATATCTCTAGCGTTTGTCACTTCTCGTATAACGAAGATGGCGCGTGTCGCGTGAAAATTAAATATCAGTATAGTGATAGATTGTTAATTCTGCTAACAATTTGTGTGTCGTTGCCTCAATTTGCATATCTGATAAACAAACATAGTGCAGGCATTGCCCATGTAAATGACCATATGTTACTCGAAAGTGTGTTGTATACCTCAGAGCTATATTTTAGACTATTCAACTGATATTTGCTGAATAATAGGTAATTTTTTAAATGCATTTAGCAGTTATCTAGCGTCTGGTATGCCTCGGATGCAGGCAGCATGGGCCAGATTTGACGATGTACATATGCATGCACCCATACGAAAATAATGTAGGACAATTTCATTCAGCTAAGGGTCGAATTATAATCTCTGAAGTCAGTTTTCCACATGCCTGTGCATAACACTTACTCTGTACGCAGATCTTGTGACCAGTTCGCCCATAAATGATAGTTGACACGGAGTTGGATGTTGGGCAACTTCCTCTGTAATATAAAGTCGTAGACTTTGATGAAGTACAAATGTGCATATTCTTCAGTAGCCTTTATTAGTATTTTCTTAGTAAAAGAAGAAGCGCTCTTACTATACGCAAGTTGAATGAAACTAACAACGATATCAAAATTAATTAAGTTTCTGAGATTAGCTCAGTATGGCCGCACGCCGGATAGCCCTGAGTGTGACTCACGGGTCAACGCATACTGTAAGAGAACTACACATAAAATCAAGTCTATCTGCAGATACGAGCCACCTGAGATTTCTAATTCATCATAATTATCAGGTTTTGTTTACTTTTACCAATAAGACGGCCCTCACACGTGCATTGCAACCCTTAGTCTAGTTTTACATTGGCAGTACGTGTTGCTACTGGCTAAATTCTTTATTTGATGTTACACTAGATGGCTACTCAGCAATTCTATATATCGCACATTTACGCTACTGTATATGCTTACATAATATTATCCCGGGTGTGGCTTGCCATCGTAGGTGGTAAAATAATGGGATAGCGATGACATGTTCCACCAACATGGCCACGTTACCTTAGGATGAAGAGAACGACTTCTTTATTCGACAGTCTGCATGCTTCCCCGTCCCTTCGTAATGGTGCTTGTTCTAGATTTCTGACATCGGTTAGGCACGTGGAAGATACGCTTGACAGGCATTGTTCCTTTGCGGTGGTTCAGTCATACGCCACAGGCTGCACGTCGTTGTGTGGCGAAGCGGTACCATTACGGCTCTGCTATCAACACATTGGACTGATTACCCCTCCCACATTGTGATGATTGCTAGAGCCGAAATAGGCCGCTCCTTTGTAGGACTTCCGTGTCACGCACTGCCATGTAACCCGTCGTCACGTATACAAACCTCATGTGCATGGCTTGGATCTTCGTCGGCGTAATGCTTTTTCACTAAATATGATGATCCATCAAAAAATGTTTAGTACTTACCTCCTACTTTCAACATTTCAAGCGAATATCGTTTAACCTTTGGATTTATTGCACGGTGTGTCCTTGACCATGCTGTGCGAGTCGAAGTCGTTCGGATGATTTCAGTATCGTTCCTTTAAAACGAATTCTCAATTTAATCAAATTAGAGAATACATTTATATTGACAAACTTCAGCTTGAACCATTTCGCACTCGCACACCAAAACACGAGGTTGCAAAAGTTTTTCATTATGAATTTGTGTACGTTCTACATTCTTCGCGTTCCTCCTATTGCACTGGGGGTAATTAAGAACAACAAAAAACCTAATAGTTAAGCTTGTAAATACTGAAGGTATTCGTATACGCGAGATCCTTGATAAACTTTTCAACGTGTGATAGAGTGTTTGGCCTGAGAGGAAACGCAGGCAAAGATTCGACGAGTTTCAGGTATGCTGTTTGTTCTGTAAAGTACACGTCAAAGTCGAGGGATTGGTCCTTAGCCGAATTGCACGAGACTCAGCGTAAGGTCATAAGAAACTGTTTTCATGAGGCCGCAAAAAACCTTACAAGCCATATGTAGTCGATAGCGTTTAAAAAATGAGAGACATGCTCAAGTTCGAGCAAGTCAGAGGTCCATTTTATTAATCCAAATTATAAAATTTTTCCAAGAATAAGTTTATGTTTCGTCATATACGTTCCGGCACTACTGTCTACCGCATAGAGAGGTGACTGGGTTGGCTTGAACATTTAATATTTCAAACGGTAACAAAATTTTATACTTTAAGGTGCAATTTGGTCTTAGACTAGCCTTAAGGATGGGTAGACTAAATAAAAAAATATTTCCAATACGGATGGTCAAGGTCGAAAAATATACTCACGGTCCTTTAGAACAGAACAATGGCAACACACGATAGGCAAACATAGGTAAGCAAAACTGAGCTATCCGCCATATCTACTATACTGAAGTGTCCACCGTAAGAATCCCCGTTATTGGTGACAGCTGAGATCGGTCAATGCTTGCGAGTAACTGTGAGTGTGGTTTGCCAGCTCAATTATTACTAGACTAAAGTACGATCGTTTCTCTTGAAATACTTCGAATACCCTTACCCAATACCTTACTAATAACCGAAACAGTTATATCCAGTACCGATGGCAGCTCAATTTCATTTTGCGTCTAAATCTCTCGAAAGAGCCAAGCCCGTGGAAGAGATCGGTATTCAGTTTCCATTGGACAAAACGGAATTGTAACAGCAGTTTATTGTTTAGGTCTACACTTTTATGCATTCAGTATTTAGCTAGCAGAATATTCAGCTCGAAACCGTTGTTGTATTAGTTTTTAACGAATAAACCTAAGCTTTGCTCTGTGCCCCTTTTCCGCTGATTAATTCATCCAGTCCTATTCGTTTATATAGACTAACGAAATCCATAAGTCAAAAGCTCATGATCATAACAATTTGCTATTACCCACTGTTTTTGCCCCGTCCCACCTAATTCGTTACTCTTTTGAAATTAGGTCATCAGCCTCATCCTTTATGTTTGTTAGGGCTTTCAGCTGGTTGTATTTGTCTCTTTTGTAATATACTGACCTTTGGTACATTTCCACAATATAATACGGAACTTCAGTAGTATTCCTTGATTGATTCTGGTTACTCAACATATATGAATAATATTGGTTGTCAGCCGGACCTTTAAGGCACGTACGCGAATTGGGTCGGCCTTCAGCTTCCTCTAAATAGATCTTGCGGTCGGCTAACTTATTGGTTTTGTTCTAAAAACATCGCCAAGACTTTTTAAACCTTTTTTTTTTTTTTTTTTTTTTTTATAGGAAATACTTACACACAATTTATAAGATGGAAACTCTGTTCTCAGGTTTTATCTTTTCTTTATAATCAGTGGTGACACATATTAAATTAAATTAAATGAAAAGATAGCACATATTTAGTTATCATTTGATGGGTTTTAGTTAACGTATTGTTATCTAGGTGGAACGTGAACAGCTTAAGGATTTTTTTATTGTTTTTAATAATAAATCTTTAGATATATATTTTTAACCCTTCGGCGCTTTAAGAGAAAATTTCAAACCATTTTTGCTTCAAGTTCAAAGAAGTTGCTTCAAGCGTTCGATTGACACCTCATTTTTACATGAGTAAACTGAACTTATGGTAACGGCCGTACTTGTATAAAGGTAAAAGGCTAACTATTTTTTCTATCGAGATAACGTCGGATGGCAGTCAATAATCTTTCAATGGCCATAATCTAAGAACTTCTACGACAATTTAGTTTAAACATAGCTTTTTTCTTTTTTTTTTTTTTTTTTTTTTTTTTTTATATATATAACACGTTGTTTAGCGTAACACACTGTTTACACTAATAATATATCGATGTGGACGATGCTGATGGCCGTCTGTCGGTGTGCGTAAACGTTTGTGGCGTTGTTTTCAAATATGGAAAATGCTGAGGAAATTGCTGCTATCGCTTTATGGTCAACTAAATCAACACTACGTCCTCTGGGAAAAAGCAAACACTTCTATGTAGGAGAAAAAGTCCTTGGCTAATAGGTCCCGTCTTCCGCGCAGATCTTCGTAGAATGAAACTCTAGTGACTCAGAGAAATCACTTCTGTTCGGACTACATTGAAAAATTCCTTTTCGTTTTACGAACAAAGAGACACACGTAAATCTAATAGCGTAGTAAATTATCCATGTACTATAGTATCAAGTTTAGGACTAAAATGACCCACGAGCTTTATTACGCGCAGCTTTGTTTGTTGATTTATTGAGGTTGATTGTTTTCTATCTTGTTTCGAACAGTAACTATGCGCACACCAACTATTATTTCGTTGCAAGTGCGTTGGCCTATTTAACCCTGCAGTATTTTGCTTTTATTTCATTGGCCTGTTCTAATAGAAACGAGTGTCACTCGCGCTAAATCTAGGCTGACAAAAACTACAGCTTGACTGCAAGTTTATTCGGCGTTCCCAGACGTATGTCCTAGGGTCCTGTAAGACTGATTCCGTTGTTCCGTTACAGGTATCCCAGCGGAGTAATCCATTTGCCGTAGACGATTACTATAATCTTTGCTAAGCCATGCTGAATGCTGGTTTGCCTAACCATAAAGTAAAGTTGAAAAAAGTGGCAGTGTACGTCGTTTTGTGGCATGAATGACTCGATTTTAGGATTTCACAGCACCCTCAGGAAAATGGTACTTTTTAGTTACACCGAGAAGCGTCGCCTGAAATTTGTAAGTATTGTGTTGCCTGATACTCGTTTGAAAAGCTTTTGCTACAAGGTATGCTGCTTGTATATAAATCGGTCTAATCGGAAGATAGTTATATGTCACGTAATGAAATTTACCATCGAACACAAAAGCCAATCGCCGTTTTATCCTTGACAGATGCGCATTACATGTCAGCGAATTTTGTATTATACATCGTACAGACATGTTTTCGTGTTTGTTGATTTGTTGCGGCCTAAAGCTTTTATCACCAACGCGATGTTCATCGTTTGCGTCTACTACGGTATCTTTGTGCCGATAGGCTGCAGGTGTCTCTTTCGTTGTCTGATCTTCTGACACACTGATTATCTGTCCTGTGTTCGGCCTCGTATGGCGTAAGTTCATAACAACTTAACGTTTCAAAAAATGGGCACAGCTAGAGAGCATAGAGAGTTATCGTCATATAAATATGCATATATACAATCGTACATAGATATAATATTTCTCAATAGCAAGCCTTGTGTGGTTTTTGGCTAACTGGAACACAAGTTCGTTATAACTCCAAACGTTTCGCAAATCAGGCACAGGGTGATCGAGCGCTCAAAAATAGATGCATGTGGTACAATTCGTTCTCGGTAGAAAGCTTTATGTATTTGTCAGCATTGTTGTACCAATCGATCTTATGATTCCAGTGGAATAACATCACGCTGTACGGGAAATACGGTTTTCCCTGTAGGAATAAAGGTTCGAATGGCTTCTTTTACAATATAATTAATCATACATATATATTGCGTACTTGTTCGTGCAACAGAATTTGCACTGAAATGTACACTTGAATAGTTGATGAGATATCAGCTCAGGCGCTGGCGGTTGGCATTTCTAAACGGTAATCTGGCGTTATTTTTAAACGTGGAAGCTGTTACCGTTGGTAGGAATGGAAGTATCTACTCAATCTGCTCCATTTTTTAGGGGGAAACTTTAACGACTCACAAATCAGCCTAATCTCAGCCCGCCGAGAGGTCGTTTTGGACTGAAAAAATCCGCTGATCAAGATTTTTAATAGGTTAGATAAATATATACGTTCGGGATACAGTTCAAGCATTTTGTCATCCAATTTACTCGCAAACAACAAACTGAAACATAAACCCATAGTTAATTTTAATATTATCTATCAGTATCAGCTAGAACCTTTTAAAGTAAATCTGTTTGGAGAGTTTACGTAAACATTATTGAGTAAAAGAATAGAAAAATATCAATACGACTGCACATACGATTCCTGGAATCTTGGAGCCCCCTTTTATTTTTGTGTGTCTTAGGCGTTGTTAGAAAAACATTTTACATTCCCGTAGACACATGTTTTACATAAAAATACCATTGTATATTTTCTTTAGAATCCTCCCTAATTTAGCCGGTAGTACTATAATTATTCAAATTGTTGCACTAATATTATTAATATAATCATCATTATTACTATTATACAAAATATTTATAGATGTTAACATAATTAATTATACGTCGAAGACATTCTTCTTAAGGAGCTTAGATTTCCACCAAAGGCAGTTGTGAATCAATGACCTCTAACCCACCTCATAAAACTCTATAGCTGGCAAAACATGTCGTGACCATTCATCCCAGAAGATACCTTTCTACGTTTCGAGTTTTACGCCCGGCAAAACATACGTTGACATTTATTAATCGCCACTGCAATGCGAACCCATGAACCTTTGACCTCGCTAGTGCAAATTATGAAAATCAACTGACTTCCTCATTCGAATTGGGGTGACGTATTGTAATAAACTTGGACCCACCGACACTTGAACACTTGCCCGAATTTTAATTGGTAAAAAGCATTTTTCCGTGTCTAAAATTTTCACCAACTATTGCACTTAACTTGAAGAATCGTCGGTTAGCTTTAGATTGAGCGAAAACCTCGAAGTGTGTTAAACAAATACTTTGCGTAATCGTATGAACGATTGTCGGTTTTTATTCTATTTCATTGTGTTCTTTTGTAAGCGCAACTCTAACAAAGTAACTAACTTCGAAGCTGCGACAAAGACTGCATTTTGGCCTTATCTGTAGAATCTTTAAAAGAAAAGATTGTTTACAGCCGGATGTTTATCTCCTTTGAACTTCCTTCTAGATCTAGAGTGCATTCATCACTTGAGTAGGCCAAAGAAATCGACAAATGGAACAGCGGGTCGTCGTTTGCTCGTCTTTATATTAAATGGTTAGTGACTCTTAAGCAATGGCATTTGTTTATACAGATATTCAACATTAATCAACCTGCATTGACATGATCAGACGTGTCACTCAGTTATCACGTATGTATTGTTACTCTTCTACAAATAAGAGACTGCCAAGCATCGCTTTATATTTAAAAAAAACTGCATATTTTATAACATGGAACACATAATAAATGGCTAGCAGTTCATGCGCCATCGTTCCCTAAATTGCTGCGAGATCTGCTCAACTGGCGACCAGTAACTCTGGATTTACTTTTTGTTTAGATAGCTATAGTAGTATACTAATAGCCTGGGTCTGCGAATTTATCCGATACAAAGCAACCCTTAGAGTATACGCATTGAGTTGCTGAGGGTGTCGTCAGAGCTCCCTTTATGGGAGGGTTTGCGCGGAAAATAGAGCCTATTTGGCCAAATACATTTCCTTTTAGAGCTCGTTTGCTTTTCCCATGAAGCGTAATGTTAATTTGGTTGGTCGTAAACCGTCGGCAGTGACTTTATTATCAGTTTCCATGTTTGACAACATCGTTGCATTACCGTTTAGCAGCGCCAAAGCGGCTATTAACATTATTTGCGCTAATATATTGTGAAATGTACAAGTGTATGTTTGTGTAACACTTGCGTTGCATAAACATGTGCTCGCTGTGTGTTACAAAATAAATTGTGAAACTCAAACTATATTATGAAGGAATCTATCAGGGTATCGCTGTTAGAGAACAACTAGGTCGCTAATCGGTATTCCCTTTATTATAAATGAAATTATCCTTTTATCTCTATAAAAGTAAAATAAAATGCCTTTAACGGCAAAGCAGTCGCGAGGTGAAGGCCGTGGGCCACACTCAAATTCATTGTAAAAAATAATTATCTTGAATCAACTGAAAATGATAATGCAATTCCGACAAAAACTGACTGAACTAAGTTACTGACATATTTTTAGCAAAGGGTAGTTCTCTCTGTCACCTGCATTCGGTTGCATCAAGTCAGGAAACATCTAGTAATAACGACCCTTTGGAGGACCTATTCATCGACAAAAGATAGAAGTTCGACGAATCTTGGACTTATGTAGAGTCGTTGTCATTTAACCAATGTGTCCTGAAAAGATGATAGGATTTTAAGCCCTCGTAGCAGCATCGGAACCCATATTGCAAAGCGGTGCTTGAATCTGTCTAAGTGAATATAAAACGGATTCAATTGTATAAAGCTAAAGATAAATTCTATAATCTTTTTCTATACTTCAGATTTTGTACTTGTAAGCAACATCACAGTGTAGATAAGCGCCCTCTATGCTATTCGAAATATGGCGGCTCTGCTAGGCTTGAAAGGATTTTATTATATTGGTTTGTAAGTCTTGATGGCTCTATGACCCACCTAAACAAAAAAATAAGTTGAAAAGTTTGAAATACTCGATGTTGTTTTGTAGATTCGCTAGCCTTGGGAGCTCTGTCGTCAGTTATTTTTTTCTACGTCTGTTCAGCTTTCTGCAGTAAAAAAAAATTCAGTCGTATCAAACTATCAAGCGCCAAGCAATGAATTTTATTCTGCATTCTATCGACCCTATTCTTGATGAATCCTGATATGTAAACTTCGTTTGATTCGCTTTCAGAGCATTACTTCGAAACGTGGCCTCGTCATGTCCATTAAACAAGAACGTCATCGCCTTAGTAATAATGGAAATCCTGGTCAGTTATCAGTGGTTATGAAGTGTTTTTTATAAGCCTTTTCCTGTTACGGCCGAACATTTTTACAATCTTAATTTTTCGTGTGATTATATTTTAATTGGTATAAAGAAGCATCATCAAAATTGATGCCAAGCTGTTATAAAACCATGGTTGATGAAACGGAGATGTTCAGTTCAAGCTGTAACAATGAAAAGTTAACTTTTAAATTTCGAGCTTGTTTTGAACAAAGAGACATATCGAATTTATCTATTTACGGTTACCAAATAATGACCAAACACATGGTTAGAAACCAAAATGAGCGAATTATTGTTTCTATTTCTTCAAATTATATTCTTCAAAATCTATATCTATTTTTATATATAGCAACGCCCGAACATAACCATTTTCACACAAACATATAGGCACAATGAAACATCCTTCAATGCTTTCAACTATGAACTCATGTTCATACTAGAAAACACTGAAAAATGTTTTTCACAGCGGATTATCATACTATCACATGCGCTTAGCAGGTCCCCTAACTTGATTTTAATAGATTCTTTACGACGAACCAAAAATGCTAAAAGCGCCTCTTTTAGTCCCAATAGCCAGTCGAAGGTTGCGTAAAACTGCTGTCTTATTTCCGTCTTTCGAAAGCAGTGAGACGTGGCATATGGACACTGACCCATGCAGGATAATGAGAGAGCAGGCAGCTGACACGGGTAAACGAGGATCATGCCAACGTAATAATTGGCGATAGAAGACATGACACTTTCTCTTGCAAACGTGCTTTCTCTCGAAGATGTTTCCAATCAACGGCGATATGGAGGTCTTTGACATTATCGCTAGCTGTACCAACGATAGGAAACTGGGTAGTCACAGTCTCCGATTAGTAGAATCTGTCATCATCTGGAAAGGAACGCCATTGGCTACAGTTACTTTAAAAACTGATCGACTATAAACTCTACATTGTACTGCCAAAGTGATATACTACTGAGGTTGCGAATCGAGCAAAGAAGACAAGTGTCGTGTCGGTAGGAGTACGTTGACAAGAGACCGTGTCAGTGGAATATATTGCCATTTGTATACTACTAATAAGAGTGCAAAAGAGCTACTTAAGACGAGACCGCAGACAACTGGTAAAAGGTGGAAAGAAAGAGAATATTTGATATTGTTTAAGGATGGCTAGCAAACCTTTATCGGATCCGTAGACTTAAAATGAAAAAAATCGGCCACTATTTTTCCTCCTTTCGGAGTGAATGGTAAATTGACGTGCACTTGACTACAAATTGCAATACAGCGCGAATGTATCATCAGGCCACTCCCTTAATCAATTCTTGAAAACGTTTAGCTTGTACATCCACTTGCAGTAATCTTTATTAAATCCTTTATAAATCCGTAAAGCTTCTCTTAGTGAAAAATTAAAAACAAACCAGCATACCCCCGCTGCAGCAATACCGCTGCGGAAACCAAAAGCTCGAACTTTTATACGAAATCCACTTTTTCAATTATGTTGAATGAAAAATTATAATTAGATATTCCTGGTAAAAGTAAAAGTTCTTCTTCAAGCTGTGATAATAGAATAATAATTTACCGTTAGGCAGACCAATTGAAGTACTTCGGGCTTTTATTTATAAGCTGGGATATTTAAAATGGTTTTATAGAAAAAAATATTTTTTGTGGAAACTGCAATGGCAAGGCTTTTTACCCTTTATTTAAAAATTTAAGGACCGAAGCTAGTTCTTATGAATCCTATGGCTGACCCAGATTACTAGGCCACAGTCAAAGAACTTTCCGGAATCATCTTGGCATTGCGTTAAAACTTCTCATTGCTAGCTAATATTCTGCTAGGATTTCTATACCGGCACATTAAGTGATCAAATTCAACATAACATCCACCATTAATGTAAGTAGGTTTCTTTAAACGCTATGCATCTGCAGAAAACAACAGAAAACTGCGACCGTTGCTAGAAATAGTTCCTGCTTAACTTATTAAAAAAGAGCATACAATTAATTATAAATTATTCAGTTAAATTATTTCTTTACGTTTATTATCTGTGTCAATAGACTGTTAAGCGTACTACGGCGAACAAGTGCAGCCTAAATTACCAGTTCCATTTACTTTCCTATACAAACTATAAAGGAAGTTAGTAACATGGCGCTGAAAAGAAAAAACGGATTCTTTGTAGGCGTAACAGAATTAAACAATTAAATGTAAAAAGATATACTCAAGTATACACCCCCAAGTTCGTAGGGCAATATAAATCGTTGAAAAAGTATCACACCATTAGAGGGTGCCACGTAAAAGCTTAGAACTTCAACATCCCGATGGTCCTGTCATTCAACTCCGTTTAGTCTTCAGTGAGTCGTATAACTGTCACGATAATGTCTTCAGTAAAATAAGAACTACCTAATAAAAGTCTTCTCTGTCCCATCATACTGGATGAGATTTCAAGAACATGTAAAGCGTACTCACACACGCAAATCTATACATTTGCCTTGTGCTGGCATATCATTCTACACACTGGAACTTTCGGCAAAACACAGAATATACCCGATTGTGAGTACCTTAAATCAATATTTATATCGATTCACACTATTGTTACCCGGTTTTTGAGTGAGGCACGATCATACTTCATGAAGAATTGATACATCAATACTCTTATTTTGCTAGAAGATACACGAAGCGCCCCTTTCGTGGAAAAAATAATATACAGATCGGCTCATCGAAAAAACTGACAATAATTCCTGTTTAAGGGAGCACCTACCGAAAATTGTGATCATCTTTTGCTAATTTTAAGGCTTGTAGGCAATAGAATTGTATACATATTAGCATATCAGATGCCAATGCAAATACAGTGAGACTAGTGAGTGATAGAGGAACGGAAGACTACTGCATCTAAAGGTTTATTTCACGATACTTTTGAAGACAAGAACTGTCTGACTACACTGAATTCACTTCTTTGAAAGAATGACATTGGCATTGTAAGACTTGCGATCTAAAGTGCATTAGAGTGATATTTCCCTTTAGTAGCCACTACTAATGTGGATTTACTAATCGATCGTCTGCATCTACAAGTGTGTTACTCGCTTAGTTTTCTACGGCTTTCAGTATTGAGATCCTTGGGACAACTTGGGAAGATTAATAAATATTAAGTACATGAAATTCAAAATGATCTCCGCCGCACCTCGAAAAATATGGCCATAGGAAAACTAATATGTAGAGAGATTTTCGCGTTTGTAAAAAGCTGCACATAGGCAGAATTACGACGTACATATTTCGGTTTGTGGGCTTTGCAGCTTGCCAGTCATCCGCCGTAGCAACAAACAGTAACATGCTATTGACTGACTAATCCATCATGTACACCGAATATATGTGTTTCGCTTCTGTTGCTAATTCTAGACATAAAAAAACGAATAGGCACGACAAAGGCAAGGTGCGGGTCGGAGTAAATTACAGTGCAAACGGGGTTAGAGGAGTACCTAAGGTCAATGGCTCTATAACGATGTTCGCCACCTGTCGAAGCGGCGATAAGACGGAAAACGGCACTATCGACGGGTCATCAAGTCACCCACCAATTATAACATAGAAGACACATAGCCGTCAAGTTATTCTGTCTATAGGCTTTTGAATTGTGAGGCTGAACCTCCATAGGAGGCAGTTTTGCAAATCTCATAGGTTAGAAAATGTTTTACAATGTCTACTAAAGCCACCAAGTGACTGTGGCTCTATGTTTTGTGATAGTTTATTCGTGTCATATGTGTATAGTGTAATATGATGTATTGTGTGAAAAAATTTTTAAGAATCACCGCCAATGTCTAGAAACGTCATACTGTTGCAGGATTATTGCGTGAAATAGACATATTGTGCTTAAAGGTGCGATTCATTGATTTTAGCGCCGCAGGACAGCCAAAAAATCGACTTTTATCGAAGTAGGCTTAGGGATACTTTTTACTAACATTTTGTTCTCTAGCACGAAAAAAAGGCGTGGTGATGGTATCAAGTAGAGTAAATCAGGTTTTTCCTAGCTGGTATTTGAGCAATTTAGAGTAAAATGTTTTCCTGTTAAAAGATAAATGTGGACTGATCTCATAGATGCCCGGAAGACTATGTTTGGTTGACAACAATAGCTAAATTACCAAATCTTTGGGCGAACAACTACATCTCTTGCTTTTGCTTTCAAAGACTCGAACTGGTTTAATTGAAAACTAGAGCTCGTTATAGCATCGTACCATTATTAGACTTGACAGGTGGCAGACGTTATCATCTTGCAGATGCGGTCTCTATTGAACATCGTCACAAAACCCTTTCTCTTCCTTGATCATATCCAATCACGGATTCAGGGCATATATTTGGTGTCGAACCGATGTTTGCATTATCCTACAGAGCGGACGTTGATCACTGTATCCAGGATAGACCAGACCCAAAAGCGATCGAAGACTACTTCAGCAACTGCTGAAGTAATAAAACTAAGAAAATATGTCAGCAAACTCAACGTTTCCGAGGCATTAGATAAGGCTGGCAAGTTGTTTTGACTGCTTTTCATCGTTTTTAGTGTTTGGTAGTAATAGACCTATAGATGTGTTTTTAATAAAATTGCATCATTCTTGTAATGATATACATCTATCTAAAATACAACGAAGAAGGATTTCAATTTATAAATTTGAATTTAAACTCTAATTAGCATCAAGGAAAAATGACGAGTCCTTTTCTACAAAAAACAGAGACAAAGAAACAGCTTCATCTACTTGTTGTTGAATTTCTGTCGATTAACCTTTAATTAATCGTTGAAACGTTAACGCGATATGAGTCTTTGCAATGTAGCATTCGAGAACTCTACAAAAACCGCGTACCTATTTAAAGACGGTGTTAGCAAAACCTTCAGCGAGTTCCACAGGGATGTGGCCGCATTTGCAGGCGGCGTACAACACTTAGGCTTGGCCAAAAATGCAAGGGTTGCTATATTTGCACCCACCTGCTATGAATGGCTCGTGGCCAAATACGCAATCAACTGGGCTGGATGCGTTGTGGTAAGTTGTCTACTCATAAAACAAAAAGTACTTTCTGACTAACATATTCATCAAAATTAATTATCATCGTTTATTCTCTTTGCAAATCGTCTATAGACAAGTAGATAAGGTGTACTTAGGTGTATGCAAAGCATTCATCCGGGGCGAAATACGAATCGGAACAATTGATTACTAGAATGGGAAATCCAATAGAACTGCTCTGTTTATATATATAGAGCAGGGGATGTTTACTGATTAACATGATTGCGTCAATCAAAGTAATCAGTTGTACTGTAACTTTTTATACGAGAACAAAGCTGCCTGAGAAGTGGCCCTCAGGCCATGCCGCGTTGCACAATAGCAGACGATATTACTTGAAAACAATTTTTGAAGATTCCGGTTAAGTGCAGAAGAAAAGCCTGCGTAAAGACAGATATTTTGGCTTAGGTAAGCAGCTGTATACGAGCAGCCTAGTTAAGCGGGCAATCTGGAGAAAAACAAACAAACAAACATTATAAATTCAAATATAGATTCTTATTAATCTACCTAAACGGAAACTGCATCTATTTTGTAAGCGCAGATCGCTTAAACGCAACGATCGTGTACGAGGTATTTACTGTTTCATAAAGGTTCCTATTCAACTATGCCGACTACTGAAGCTAGCGATTTTAAAATTAAATATACTCAGCGGAGCTGTGGCTGACATCTCATTTACGGTTATCGGTTAGCCAACTCTGGCCCTTCCTGTGTTAGATTTCATAAAGATTTTACATATTCACACTATGTGCGCCCCACTTGATCTATTCCTTTTTACCAGTAAAATACTACATATGTATGAACTAGTTCTCTAGTGCTGAAAATGCTGGTGGCACCCGTCGAATCTCACATCCATTGTTCATATACACAGTTCTTCACGGTTTTGGTCAATCTGGTACATATTAGATACTTCAAGATTATCAAAAAAATACTTATAATCACAATCCAAACGTTACCAGTTCCTACGTTGCATAACCATGTCAATATCAGAATTTTTTTAGCTGGACTGCTGTTGACTTTAACTAATCGAGAGATTTCGGCAGTCTAGATCGTGCACACAAGTTACATACAGCACAGCAACAACATTAAAAGATACCATTTTATTACAAGACTTTCTAATCTGTTATAACTTGCCGTCGCATCTTTTGTCTATGGGATTCAATAATCTGATTAAGGTTTCTTTCGGCACGTTGCTCCTTAAGTTGAGCCTTCGTCGGACCTCGAAGTTTCTTCTCCTTTTTCTTCCTGAATTCCGGCTTTCGTTTGGCCAGACGAGCCAACCTTTTTAATCGCATTTGATGCTGCCGGCGTTTCGGATCTAGACGAATCTTTTCACTGACCCGCTTTGGTAACTGCTTCATGTCAACTTGGGCACGAAGTCCCTCAAACGGTAACCTTTTACCTTTACCATAATCAACATTGGCACCTTCTGCCGCATCTTGCCCTCCACGCTTCATCTGATGGATTTCCCGGAGTTTTTCTTGTGACCTCTTTAATCTTCTCTCTTTGACCATCAAGGCGGCTCGGTTCTCGATAGAAAATGACACAATAGGTCGCATCTGATCAGTGAAAACGTTTGGATTATTGTTGACTGCTCGCAGAGCTGCAAGAGCATCCTCGTGCTTTTCAAAGTTGACAAATCCAAAACCTTTCGACACGGCTTTCCCATCGTTACTTAACCTTTTCATGTTACGCATGACGCGGGCCTCAGTAATCTTTGCCGCTTTATTCACAACTCTACCAAATATTTTCCGAAGTTGCTTATCGTCGCACGAGGGCGGCAAGTTGTGTATGCACAACCTAGTGGTCGACACAAAGTTGTGGAGATTCTTCAGAGCTTTTTTCTTGTTAACCTCAAGTTTGGCACGCATCTTTAGGTCGTGATCAGAGACATGAGCTCCAGTTGAAGTACCTCCTCTGATAAAGCCTTCCCTAGCAAGATACAAATTTCGTTTGTCCTTAGGCTGCTTCTTTGAATTCGCTTTTTTCTCAATTTCCTGTTGTAGCTCCTCACGTTTCATGGCAATTGAACCTGTCAGTACCTAAAATATTAGAGAAATTAGCAACATTTTGTTTATAATATTTTTATTTCCAATAGCAAATCCTAACTTTGAACTGACACAATTAAGAATCATTACGAGTTAGGTATTATTTGAAGCCTTTTTTTTCGTTTCATTTTTAATTGCACAGCTATGCAAATAATGATTCAACCGAATAATTGATTAAAACTACGCTGTTTGCTTTCAATGTCGACTTCATACCTTGCCATCGAGTGTGACCTCGCCTGCCTGAAGACTTTCGACACATTTATCTGCATCTGCGCGCTCGTTAAACTTAACAAAGCCTGTTCCCTTAGATCGCTGTAGCACCTTATCTGTGCATATCAGGCAAAACTTGTATGGGCCAAATTTCTTCATATGCTCCTGGAATGTCGTCTGGGTAGTATCGAAGTGAATATTCCTGACAAATACGGTCCGTCGAAGGTCTTCCTTTTGTATCATTTCACGTTTCCTGTAGAAGCCGCACATTTATTTCCCATATAATCGCTGAATCTATGCAGTGATAGTAACCGAATATAACAAATGAGTGATCCGTACAATTGCTTTGCAGGTTCGTATAAATTCCCTAAATGCCCCAAATGAAACTTGCATTCTTAGTCTGATCGAAACAATAAAGTTGAACGATATACCGGTTAAATGTAATATTATATGTGCATATTTTGAAACCACCTTGTCGCATGGTAGGGGCGCCGACAGGTACGAACCGTTTTGCTTTCTCACGATCTTCATCTGTGCTTTCATCATCATTTTCGCTACTATCGTCGTTCAGAGCGAGACCCCAATCCGAATCGGAGTCATCTTCGTTCTCGTGTCGTTGCCTTTCAGCTCTATCCTGTCCCTTACTGCCTTTATCGTGTGTTAGTTTTCGCTGTTCAGCCTTTACTACTCTGGCTTCTTTTGTTTTCTCCTGCGGCTTTTCCTTTTTGTCAGTATCATCGCTATTGGTCTCATCTGAAAAACGGTGACACAATAGGAGATAATAATTAGGACAAGCCTCACAAACTGTAAAAAAGCCAAAAACAGACGAGCGTGTTGTTGAGAAAATGTAGTTTTTAAAACTTTAATTTTTTTATTCAATAATCATCATCTCTTGCCGTTAAACAGAATTTTCAGTTATGAAAATCAACAGAACTTTTTATGAGTCAAATTGTTACTAAGATCGTCCTATGTCACACACACATCACGCAGCATGCACAGGAAGTCCTAACTCACCCTCATCTACTTCCATAGCTTTTGTTTCATCAAACTCATCATCTTCAGCCTCATCGTCGCTATCGTCGGAGTTTTTGGAGACGTCCATTTGGTCCTCATCATCATTATCTGAATCTTCTTCATTATCCGAAGATGCAGTGTCTTTTCCTATCCTTTCCTTTTTATTTTTGCTTAAAGTAACTGCAGCTCGTTTAGGGTTGGTCCGCTTAAGTGTCCGGCTCTTATCCTTCACTTGATCTGACTTAACAAGTCTCACCTCCCCGTCGCTGCCAAACTCCACTTCAGACTCACTTTCCGCCTCATGGCTGATATCGACATCGTCATTCTCATCTTCATCGTCATCTTCGTTAATCTCTTGGTCGTTTTTCTTCTTTACAATGGGTTTGCCCTTGGGCGTTGCCGTGGAATCGTCATTTAACTTTTTATCACCATTGTATGAGCCCTCGCCGCTATTTTCCGGGCTACTCTCATCATGGGAGAACTCGGCTTGACCGTAACTATCGGATCCGTTATGGCTGGCTTGCTTCGTGCCGTTTGCCATTTGGGTTTTTCTGCTGGACTTTTTAATCGCCTGCTCTTCGTTTCTGGTATTCTCTTGATACTCTTTCTCATCGCTAGAATCTTTACTATCTTTTTTCGATGATTTTCTGCAAAATGCGAAAACATATCAAAGATAAAGAACTAAAATACTTTCTTTTCTAATTTTTCTTTAGGATATTCACCACAGTTATATGCTAATAATTAGATTAAATTTCTCTCTTGATATATAGCATAAATACTTGCATCATACGCTCGAACCAGCGCCTCCCCTGAATTTGATATCGAAGTACTCTCTCAGCTCATAAATCAAGCATACGCCACCAAATAACTATTTGTAGTGACTAGTGTTTGTCCTCATAAATCGAGTAGCGTATCCCCCGTTTGTCAAATGATTTTAAAGTGATCTATTATGCTGTTGTGATTTACCTTCTAGAAATTTTTTCGGTAGAGAAAAAGAGCTGAAGTTATTTTTTTGTTAATTGAGAGCTGCATAGCCCTTGTAAGTAACTTCGTGTAAATGGTATTCTATATACTAAAATCAAGCGTGTTTTATATACAAAGAATCTACCTAGAGCTTTTTTTCACGGACTCTTCTCCTTTTTTACTGGCGTTGCGAACTTCTTCAAATTTTCCTTTAGCAACGGCAAAATCCACAGCTACAGGTCTTCCCAAAATGGTTTTGGCGTTAAGTGCCTGAACCGCTTTAGCTGCATCGAGCACGTTGCCAAACTGAATGAAAGCAAAACCACGCGCCTTCCCATCTTCCTTTCTGGGTATAGCCACGCTTACCACCTTTCCGTATTTGCAAAAGTTTTGTTCAAGGTCCGTTTCAGTCGCTTTGAAGGACAGGTTTCGTACGATTAATTTCGCTTTTTGAAGTTGTCTAGCCTTTTTAGCTTCTTTTGTAAAACTAATATTTGGTTTAGGCCTCGCGGCTGGGTCTGAAATCGAAATAAATAACACATTTTTAGTGTAATTCTGAATACTTTTTTCTCCTCAGAGGAGAAGGTAGAATAAGGCCAATGCAATATATAAATCCCTTTATCTAGAGCGTCAATTGGTACTGACATTGCAAACATTGGCGACACGATATATATAGGTATGGGTAGAAGGTGATTTCTTGTGATACTACAATGCGAATTAACTGAAGGAAGGACGACGGTATCGAAACACGAAGGACACCAATGACTTTATTTAAACGGGATGTATGCATGCAAAGAAAGCTGGTTTATGTTTTGTTTTAACTAGAGTTGTTGAAATATATTACTTTCACCTTGTGAATAAATTTAACTAAATACTTGATAAAAGTAAACACCTCCTTCACTCAATACTTCCACCTGTAGATGCTGGTTTAGTGTCTACACAGAAATCAAAAGCAAGCACTCTATACCTTTCTTCTTTTTATCTTCAGCTATGCTGACTTCAAGCTGGCAGTTGCCCAACTTGAAACTTCTTCTGAGCGCTGCATCCACCGATGGCGCGTCCGTAAACGTCACAAAACCTATCCCACGAAATTTATCGGTCCGACGTTTCTTTACTACAAAACAGTGGCGAAGTCTGCCTACTTCAGAAAATACGAGATCCAACTGTTCCTTCGTTGCATTCTCTGGAAGATTCTTTACGAAAAGGGTTTTACGCTCGCCGACCGCTACAGTTTTATCGCCGTCATCGCCGCTACCGACGGAATTATCCGCAACCGTTTCAGTGGTCATTTTCCGGTTTTCGAAGATGATTGGCTTTCGAAGCCCAGAGCACTACCTATTTTTGGCCAATCACATTGACACCCCACGTTGCACGGCGTAACTCTCGCCACTTAAAACTTGTAGTTCTATAGGGTTATCAGCCTGATCTTCACACTCAATACCCCCGACCTGCGTCTCCGTTTCGAATGTTCCAATGTCTAGCTGCGCAACACGTGCGCACTGTGTTTACATACTGGCTGTGCTGATGAAAAGGGGAAGGCAAGCAAGCGCTGTGGCTGTGAATAACGGGAGGGTTAAATAAAGCGATGGCGCCTAAGGCATTGTCTTCTTCTAGACTGTTGTGCTGTTGGAGGTATCTCGTACTAACGTAGTCTTTTTGAACACATATATGTAATTAAATAAAGCAAATTACTTGTTAATTAAAGGCAAGAAAGCAGCGGTTCGGATTAAAAAGATTTCCGTTTGTAACATCTTGTTTTAGTAGATGATAATGGCAGCAAGACAAGAAGGATAAAAAATGTTTCGGAGTTTACAAGAACTTTACAAGAAAGAAGGGTACCTTTGGGAAGGATGTTCTAGGTCTATCATCAAATCGTTCCAAACAGACATTTATAATGCCCTTTGGGGTAGGCTACTGTTTGTAGGTTACGTATTATTATTATTACGTAAAATTGTGGGTTACGTATTCTAAAATATAGGGGTTAGGAACACCAGGTATTGGGCAGACAGAAAGCTTCCATTTCCAGAGCAGAACTATACGAATAGACCTATCTTTCAAAATAAATTATGAGTAAGGAAAAAATAGAATAGCTCAAATTAATTACAGCTTATATATTGCATCCAGTGATGTTTTGGAAGGAATGAGCACTCAAGGAATATCTGAGCCGTGTAAAATCCGCTCACAATCCGGTCTATTCATGCGTATAAACTTTATTGAAAAGTAAAAACTTTATGGAAAGTCCATGAAAGGTCGAAATATTTTTTTTATATATAACCTGTAGAACTCTATAATGATCAATGCTAGTATCATTTAAATATAAACAACAAAAAGAGTAAATCTTTGTAACCCTAAACATTATGACAAATTGTGACTGGTTTATTTTTAACCAGGTTGCGATGAATTCCGGCGCCTACCAGGATGAGGTAGTCTACGCTTTAGAAAAGGTTAGTGTAAAGAGCCAAAAGTTGTTTTCTGCTTTGGACAGCCGTAAATAACTTGATGCTTTCCCATATGCAGTTAATATACCATTTTATTCAAAACCATCATCTGAAAACTGTGTTATCATATGTGAATATAACACAGACTTATCATAACACGGTCTTCATATTTATTAAGTTTGCTTTCTAGCAAAGTAATGATAAGTTTATTTTTTCGCTTGCCAGTTGTAACGGAAACCAGTTTTAAAATCGAACGATAGGCGGATGTTTTTCTCTAACGTACAGACATATTGATATGCATTGAGACGTATGCTTATTTCATTGTTTTTCATCTGCTCATGGACTGAAGACAGGTACAGAGGCGATCATCATCGGTGACGTATTTAAATATATGGATTATTATCAGACGATCTGCGAAGTCTTCCCTGAGCTGAAAACAAAGAAAGCCTTAGACTCAAAACGGACCCTTAAACACATTATATCGATTTCGACGGATAAAAAACCGTTAGTATCGCAGAGAGTATTGGATGAATGGATATCGGTGTTTCTTGTGCGCGAGTATTTGCGGTATTCTTAACATTTGATTCCACAATACGTAAGCAGCCTTGGAATTAGACATCAATCTTCACCTATGCAATACGGACTATTGAAAGAGTCCTAAAACAAAATTTTTTCTTTAGTACATCCTATTGACTGTATGATTGCTTTGAAAAGGTAGAGATTCTTTTGTGTCGTATAGTATTTTGTACTATACGACACAAAAGTCTTCAGAAAAAAAAGAAAAGAAATATCGGTACCGCATGAATACAGAGACTAATACCTAACCAAGGGAACTAAGAGAACTAAAAAGAGAAAAAAAGTAACTCTCTGACTAAGTATATAAAGAATAACAAGAACATACGTACTTATGAGATGATACTATTGTGTGAAATAACGTAGCAAAGATAACTATATGTGGATTCATCAAGTAAAGATATGTTCTACCGTATTTGTTTGTCCAAAAATCAACCACCAATCTATAGTTACAATTATGACCTTGTCAATCCAGTTTAATTGTTTTTCAAATATTAGCGCAAATTTCTGTCTACTTATAACTAGAGGGACCTTTACGTTCCGGGAGCTTCAATCTTCTGGACCAGTTCTTGACGCCCAGATGAAACCCGATGATCCTGCCGTCATCATACAGTCATCAGGTTCAACGGGAGAGCCGAAAAGTGTTGTTTTGTCGCATGGAAATGTGGTCAGTGCAGCCTACCAGTCTTTCAGCACGATGCGACTTCGTCACTCGGTTAGTATTATACTTGTCTCAAATGTACTACGTGCGATGCACGGCCAGTTTTATTCATTGCTTTCACAATATTTTGGCAGTCTCAACTGACGAGATGCTGTAACAGTTGTCACGGTGCGCTAACAGTGAACTTTGTTAAAATAAAAAAGGTCCGTCATGTACTAGCATAAAAACTCGTCGGTGGTACAGTCATTGCCACGTTAAATTTAGACCTGTTGTTGTAAATACGTTTATCTTTTGCTGCCTATTGCCCGCCGCTTTCAAGCGATGATTTTAATGGCGGTTACTTTGTTTTATCAAGAACATCGTATTGGCAAGTCTGCCTCTCTACCATTCGTTCGGATACCTGTGCGTCGAAGCTAACAACACGCTTAACGGACTGACGACGGTGTTCACGTCGGCAAGTCCGAAACCTTCCGAGGCAAGTGAGACACTGGAAGTTTTACAAATATAAATATAGTTGTATTTGAGCCTTTAGAATCAAGAAACCGTTATTCGTTCTGTCATAACATCAAAGAAGTACCCAAAAAAAAATTAAAACGTTCGACCCAATTTCGATACTACGATTTGTCTGACATCTTCTGCAAAAAGAAATCACTACTCTCTCAGATCTCTAAAAATAAGTATTTTTAGAATAAATGTTTTGCTAAATAAATATTTTGCACTGTCTGTTAATGGCTGAAATTTAGATCATTGAGATGATAGAACGACACCGCGTGACAACTCTGCACGGAACACCAACGACATTTTTTGATATTCTGTGTTGTCCTGATTTTGGTCAGAGGAATCTGAGCTGCGTCGAAAACGCAACGATAGGAGCAACAACATTACATCCGTCCGTCATCGAGAACGTAATCAATAAGCTCCACCTTAAAGAACTTATGGTACCTAGTTATTATATGCATATGGATTTACTTTGCATAGGTTAGAAAAGTTACAGCTAGTGATTTATCGCACTAGTTTATCGCTTTAATTACTATAGGCAAAATTACTGTAGAAAATCAGAAGTGGCTCTTGCTTAAGGACACAAAAACAATCACTATAACTAACAATAGATAAGGAACAATAACAACCACCAGCTGCATTTCAGCTCTGGAGATCCAGCAGACGCAGGCTTTATCGAAATTTACTTAAGATATAGATAAGCTGTGTTCATCTACGTCGGAGAATAATCGATTTAAGTCTATTTAACAACTACATGTGCTTATAATATAAATAACATGTGGGTCAGCAAAAAACTTCGAGAAAAGGGAACTTAAAAATCGAGTACCATCTTCTCAGCAATCAGCGAATTATTTGAGGCTAAGAAGAAGCATTTCATTGTACATTATGAGTACGCTGCCCCCGGTCAAAGCTGGTAAAGCCTGATAAGTATAAATTATCGTCCGTCCATTGCGGTGCGATAGTCGCGTTTATCTCGTTTAAAGTCTTGTGTTATAATAACTATATGTAACCTTTGTGCGCACGTTCCATAACAAACCGAGCCGCAACACTTGGTAGAGCTCAGAGCAAGATTAACTAATAGCCTTTAAGAGTCAAGCAATGCGTATTTTGGTAGTGGTAAGAAATGATTATTCTATTTAAAAATTAAATGAAAGTGACCCTTAAAAACTTACCCCCTTTTCCGCGCATTTACAATAGCTAGGTTACGGTTTAACCGAAACGTCCGGAGCGTGTTCGTATGCCGATGGCAAAGCATTTCGTGGTTATGCTCCATTCCCCGGAACCAAATTTCGTATTGCCAAGGCAAATAACGACGTAATCGTTGATGGAAGCGGTATCCAAGGAGAGCTACAGATTCGTGGACCTACACTTTTTCTAGAGTATCTTAACGACGAAAAGAAAACACGAGAAGCCTTCACTGACGACGGATGGTTCCGTACCGGGTAGGCCATTTAATCAATATGATCCGTATAATCATTTTCGTATGCTTTTTTTTCTTTTTTTTTTTCTTTTTTACTAGATTTATTCTTAAGACCCGAACTCAAGTGACATAGGTCAGCAAAGCAGCCAAGTATTACTGCGACCGTGTTAGTTGTAGCCGAGATTGTTGTATCACAGCTTATTTCGACGAAAATTACCCCTGTGACTTATGACTATGGCCCTTAGTCGCCATTTTTGTACGAACAGGATGCCTGACGAGGGCGATGCAAGTATTCACAGCGGTTTTTCCAGCGAGTTTTACTACCAGAGTTCAACCTGCATTTTAGGCATTGGCCGAATTCTACAACAAGAATTCATTATATTTTGAGCGTTTCGTGTGTTCCCGTTTATCCGGGCTATTTTATTCCTCCATTGTCTCTGAGTAAATGTGACATATAGCAAAATTTCCGTGAAGCAACAATTTTCTAGTGAGGCCACATAGCGAAATGCAGCGCGATTACGTGCCGCGGTTTACCTCAAGATCTAAAACTGGGAGGACATTTCATAAGCTCAATGCGTGGAATTATGAAAAACTGTTTGCAAGTGTTCTTTGTTCTCAAATTGAGCCAAAAAATTTTGCCAGTCTGGTAAAAATCAAGCTGAAGAATAATATTTCATAAATAACTTTCGAGCGCGCTGTTCGATTGAATTAAGAGAGCATCCGCCGGTAAATACCGATATATTCTATTCGTATGTTAATTGGTTTGCTCTGTTAGATATACTTTTTTTCTATTACTCAAATGATTAGTATTCAAATATGCATGAACGACCGTTCCTTGTCCCTCCCTTATATGAAGTTAAAACAGATCTGTGATACCGTTTGCGTTCTGCTTCGTGATACGTAACTTTGACATAGATTCTAACTTTGAACGCCGTTTGATATAATCGTATGTAACACTGTCATTTATTATATGTGTCCACAAAGAGTTAACTGCGAAACGATTCTGTTGTTCCCTCGCTATGCACCAAAATGGGAGAACCACTGATATTTGTAATTTGCACTGTTTCAGTGATTTGGGGTACCTGAACAAACATGGATTATTCGAGATTTGCGGTCGGACCAGTGACCTAATCATCAAGGGGGGCGTAAACATTTTTCCAGTGGAGGTTGAAAAGGTAATCGCAATAGTAATAATGATTGATATTAGGGCATGGCCCTTATATGGATGAGATGCTAATCAACAGCTGATTACCAACGCTGTAGTGAAAACGCGACATATCAGAACGAGCAGCCGGTTCCGTATGCGCATTCGCAGTGTTGGCCTTCGAAAAAGATGAAACTAATATAAAATATTTCAAATAGATAGTTATTCAATAACATGACGTAAACAATTACTCCAAAAGGTTACCTTAGATAGGTGTCTAAAATAAAGTACTCAGTTATATATATATATATATATATGTGTGGGTTGCTTGAGAACGATTAATGCCACTAAAGAAGTTATACGTTGCATAGCAACTTGGGGGTCAACTTACTCGATTCAGTGTGAACATGACAGAGATAAACTGTTCACCAGGTGTTACTGGAGCATCCGGCGATCGCCGAAGCTCACGTCTTAGGAGTATTCGACGAACGGTTTGGTGAAGAAATCTGTGCTTGGATTAAACTGCGACCCGATACATGGCTTAGCGCCGGTTCCGTCATTCGATATTGTGCTGGCAAGGTAGTGAATGCAATGAAAAAGATTTTATTTAGAGGAAAGTGCACTAACGCTAGCTTTCCTTACAATAACTATGGCGTTTATCATTTAGGTAGCAATGTTGAATACTACGTAGAGTGATCAGTAAAATTACAATAATAACTTCCGGAAACAATTATAGGTAGTATGTTTCTCTAGAATTATACGTGGGTTAAAGGCCTGACGACTCTCATTGATCAATCAGCATACGAATTTGGGGCTGGGCTTTATTTCAGTTGCAGAATATCAAAATTCCGAAGCATGTCGTGTTTGCCAGTGGCTTCCCTAGAACGAATGTGGGCAAAGTCTCGAAGAAGCTGCTCCGGGAGGCGTTCGAAAAACACAGCGTGTAACGCTAGGGCCAAGTAGCTGTGATCAGTGCCCCTTACCGCCTCCATATGCATTGGACCTCCTGTATCACACTCGGCAAGTTACTTGGATACGTCAAGGAATACTTTATGGCCGATTGTGAATAAATCTAAGACTACATGTGCTATTCAAACGCGGATAATTGCAAAACATCGAGCGAGCTTAGCAAACCGGTTTGAAGAGATCGATCTTGAGGCGTTTGCAAAATAAATCCTTCAGCAACTTTTACTCTATTATGCATCGTTCATTCATGTTAAAACAATCCTATACTAGTTTTCCTATACAAAATGCGCCCTTCAAAGGCACAATCTTTGTCTTTTCACTCTAATTTATGCCCCCGGCTTACTAATCAACTGGCAATTGCTGTATGCAATACGAATAAAATAGGTAAACTAAAAACTCTACACAAATTAGAAATACCTGTATGTGTATCTGCTTACGAAATAGGTAGAACACAATATTCTATCAGAAATTCATGTGTTTTATATAGGTCGTAATTTATATTAGCAATCCAATAATTTGTAACACTTTCAACGCTTATAATTTCACGTCACCGTACATTTTTTCCATTTTAACGTTCTTGCAGATGTGTTGTCTTCTCAGGGCGCAAGCGGTTATGGAGGACTATAGACTGTCTTGAAATAAATGAGACGTATTTTCATTATAAAGTGCAACGGATCAGAACGTATAGAGTCGCAGCGTTAAACTAAATAAAAAAAGTGCCTTTCGTTAATACTTTTGCCATTTATAATTCGATGACGGATTAACAAGTACAAAGATCTACCCGTTTGTCAGTCGTAATTGTTACAGTAAGTGTATCCAAAACAATGGTGGCCCTTTGCTTTAAAATCCTTCTATTTATTAACAGCTTCACGAATGTTGTAACTAGGTTGATATGACACAACTTTTTTGGAAAGTTGTGTCAAAAAGTAGAAATCCGCCGTTCACCGCCGTAGCTTGCTGAAGACTGTAGAAGTAAACTCCTACGATTTGCCATTGGGACTCACGAATAATGCTTTTATTCCGTGCTCAGAAATAATCGTACTGAAGTCCTGCAACATCCTTTCCTTTGGGTCAAGCTGCGAGTAAATAGATAATCGAAATTGGCGTCTCATAGACCACTAGAGACACCTCGATGAATGAGTCAGAGGCAGCTGTTTGACGAAGAACCTTTAAAGCGCAGAAGTGTTTCCCATAACATTTAAAACACTGATGCAGACGTTGGAACAAGTCCAAAAAGAAATTAATTTTGGCTAAGTTCGCACTTTGCCGCCTGTTGTATTTTTTCGTGATATCAATAATGCAGCAGAAGCGCGCTTCACCAAGCTCAGTGGTAGTACTGTTTCGTGGGACTGTCAACACATCTGCTTTGTTTTGAAAATGGTCACTGAAACAGCGTCGTATATTGACCGTAGACTTCTGAAGTTCGTCGAACAGATTCAGCAGTTCACGCGGTTTCCGGAGCTCCTGCTAATGTCTGTGTTTGTTCTTCAGTAACTGTCTCTAATTGCGCGACGTTTTCGTCACACCTCTACACCCCGTGACAGATTCCCGCTAGGTGAGCATCAAGTTTATCCTTCCGTTACGCTATGAGGTTTCGCGTGAGCTCTTCAACTTTGGTCTTCGCACGGCCATTGACTGTTGGCTAGCTACGGTTCGACCTCGAATGCAAGTTTCCGCGGCAGTAATTGAATCCGTTTTCGAAAACAGTTGGATATTACCCCTTAACATTATAATATGCTGGCATAAGCGAACCATTTCGTCAGTGCTGAAGATGTGCTGTGAATAGTCGTCATGGCCTTTTTACCCGAACCAGCGTTATCCGTTGTGACAACCAGCGATCTCTTGTCGCATAGTACGTTTTAATGGCATGGCCCGTTCTACAGTCGTATTGTATGACTCGTACAAGTAGTTAAGCTTCGCCAACTGTGATACGAATTGGTTTCGGGGTGCGGTAGTAAGGTTTACAGTTAATTTTTATGATTTCCCGAACGGGCGTCACGCAGATCTAACAAAAGCGTGAGTTCAGCTTAACGCGGTATGTCTCTGTGTCTTGAAACCGCAGTGATTAAAGGTAAGTCATTGGGGTAGATCGCTCTTTACTGCCACCGAGCACAGCCCGAAATTTGATGAACTTACCGTTTCCACAATCAGCTGGCACTCTTACTTTGAGCTCCCTTTTTATATCCAATACAGACATATTACTAATTACGGATCCATTTACACTATGATATGTATATTAAATGAACAAAGTTAGGTTTCATTTTTGCATAAATGAGTCGTGTTAACAATAATCATTAGTCGAATCGGAATAAAAAAAAACTCGACACTGTATTTTTTCATTACGGAGTTATTGGCAACAAGTTCCATGCCTTAATGAACTTCGAAAAAGATGTTTATAACTATTAATTGATTATAAAATAACACATTAATCTATATTCCACCAACCCGTAGCCGTTGTAAATAAACGTATTTGTGTATTGTGTAATTTACGTGGAACTAAATGACATGGCGCAGTTTAAGTAAAACGTTTGATACGAATTATTTAAAAAGTAACGGGTTTGGTGGACGTGACTGGCTCGTTAGACGACAACTGTTTTACGACATCACCTAAGAGCAAAGGACCGCGCTTACTTTCGTATTCGTCTCTGCCAGAAAACACAATCGCTTTAAGCGTCAGTTTACAATTAATGAGGCAGATAAAAAAGGAAAGCAGGTAATACGTGAACTTCACTGGTAATCTCGTCAGATCATCCGCTTCGGAAATTCAGTTAGCAAATCGTCACATAGCATACTGCTTTCCGCGACAGCTTCGGGAACAGCGTCACCTAACAGATTTTAGGATAACTTAAAATAATGTTATTTTCGATATGCGTTAAGGCTTTGTGCCGATCGTGTTCCCAGGGGCCGTTCTTGAATACAATGGACCCTTAAATTGGCCCACTGATTGTTTCTTCAGAAAAAACTGAAAGGTCGTAAAATATTTTATATATACATTTTTTGTACAAATGTCTTGTACAGAAAGAGTAGATGGTAGCACGGGCTAATGTCTATTGACGTTCTCTTTTTGTCATCTACAGCAGTTAATAGTCACCATACGGCAAGCAGGATTCAGCCTTAATTCAAAATTTTTCTACTTACTTAAAAAAAAACTAGATTTATATTATACGTAAAAATATAGACAATTTAAAATTATATTTAGTGTGTATTTTTCATCATTTCCATAGACGCTTTTAATTTCGTTTTCATCAAATTTTTCAATGTACTGGGAGAATTGTCTGAGGAATTTGCAACAGTAATTATCAGCTGAAAATTTCCGATTCGAAGATTAAATTTATCAAAGCTCGGTGTTGTAGAACTAACGTAGAGACACACAAATCTGTTTCTTTTGTGTAATTTAGCGCTAACGAGGTTAATCCTTAGACATTTAAATTAATTATCGCCTGTTGTTAATTACGTTACGGTAGCGGAGCGGCCCTCTGACCCGTGCCTTTCACAAACGTTTGACTCTTGACGTATGAACACTAAACCAGACACCAAGCCAATGCCCGGTGGAGATTTCTCTGGCTACAACTGGCGCCCAAATATCTCAAGGGTCTAAGCTTCCAAAAAGAGAAGAAATTGGACCTAGCCCCCGAAACCACGCCAGGTCGGGACAGCCTGAAGCCGCAGTTAAATTGGCAATATTCTACCGTTTCGGAACTGGACCAGTTTTACATGCCTGCTAGAAGGCAGCACCCTCGAAGTGGTCTTAACGTAAGTGCAGGTAGCATACAATTCCTACAACCAATGCGTGCGATGCAGATTACCCATCTCTGCGTTGGCGGTTCGTCCTAAGTCCCATCGCTCCCCGGTCGAAGCCGGAAAGACGGTTCCGGACGCTAGTGACAGCTCTACGTTAGCTACTTCGTCAGTTGCAATGGGTACGTAGTCTAATAACAGTCAAGCAAACGCCAGCTGTTCCTCTTTAGTGAGAGCTTCCTCGGCGAGTCCTCAGATAGAATGGAAGATCCGACTTCCGTCTGCGAAAAGTTTACGGGTGAGATTAGTGGCTGAGAGGTTTGTGCCTTCAGCGCCACCGTTTGCATGGCGTCGAGACAGTCTGAAGCTAAACGCATTTTAGCAGTCTTCCAACGGCAAGATGGCCGCCCGAATCGTCGCTGTCACATAGCGAACGGTCGGTATTTGCCTGGAAGTATTTATGATGGTCCAAAGCTACCGACTTGTCCTTTTGGTCTTGTTTTGACAGTCACGAGTGGCCCCTCTCCAGTGTGGCATACAAACGTTAGCTAATCTGTAATAACCAGTTCTAGCAATCCACACTTCGCATAAGAAATGAACATGTGCGGTGCTAGGCCGTGTCAAAAAAAAAGTAAGGATCCGTTGAGAAGAAAAACTAGTTAGTAAACGTTTTGTAGTTTTTCTAAGGCTCGTCCTACGAAACTAACGAAAACAAAAAAAAACGAAACCTCGTTGTGGCTTGAAGGATCACGAATGGAGACATGTTTCTGCAAAAAAAAAGCAACCTTTTTCATTGGCCTATTTGATTCGTAGTGAAAAAAGACAATTTACCATATTCGTTTCTTAGTTTAGGATCGTCTATTTCATTAAATAACTAAATTGCCGTGTTTGATGACATGAGAAAATCTATCAATATGAAAATGTTCATAAGCCAGGTTCATTTCTTCCTTCAGTTGCGAAAAAATGACGCTGTAAATACAGACCGATTGTTTATGTGGCAATCATGGAAAATATTGAGAGTGAGTAGAACCTAAATAGAAAAGATATGGAGTTTTTGTGAGGATAGTTTGCAAGGACAGCAACGCTGTTAGAAGAGGCATCTTCGTGCAGTAAGTACTTACACCCACACTTACCCTAAACTCAAATCCGTAGTTTTCTTTCGTCAACCAAATTTCGTCCCTTGGACCTACTTAACAGCTGCTGTACCGCCTGAAATTACTTGCAAAGGCCTTTCTGGTAAATAGTTACGTCACCTGCTGATCTTCCGGAATATACGGCCGCCTGCTGCGAATAAGTGCGTGAAGTGACAGCAGTGCGATGAGCGCGAAATATCACTCGACAACGTTCTGAGGTACAGGTACGCATTTGTCTGATCTTGGCTCAGACTTAGCGAGTCCAACTGCCTAAAAACAGCTTGACTGACAAATAATAACTTCGAAAGCTCAGTTTGCGTTTTCTGTCCGAAATAATTCGAGTGGCCGAAAATCAATTGCTATTAAAATGGCGGTTTTCAGTATATGAAATTAATGATGAGAGCAAGACTGTTAGCAACGTTTTATTAACATACTCTAACTTCATTATCTGCTTTAGGATATCAAGCAGGAAGCTCATTTCTTCCTTTTCTTTGCATCATTTGGTCTCTCGTAAACGTGTGCGCCTGCTACTAATTCAGTTTATCGGAATAGATGTTTGCTGTCGCATTCCTCCATGCCCCCCCCCCCTTGGTACGCGAACGCGCACTAAAGTCCTAGCAAGGCGGATTCAGGTGCTTCCATCAACTACGGGCAAGCACATTTCCAAGAGAATTATCTACGCCCTGTATCGTCGTCATGTAATAGGAACAGGACACAGGACAAAATCTCAGACCAAGATTCAAGAGGGAATGGTGTCCTGTCATGAGCTCAACAGGAAACAGATGATATATCTCCACAGTCCAGAGCATTGATGTGTAGCGTTGTTTGATTCAATAAGCTCTTAGGTGTCCACACGCAGTTTTTGAAAAGAGGTATCACGCGTTTGGATCTTTGCGCAGAGAAACAATTTTCCGGACCTGTTTGTGATAATAAACAGGAACATTGATTCTATTGGTATGCCTAGTTTAATTCACGTCGTTTCATATACTATATTCATAACAGAATTAATTAAATTCATAACAGCTTATGCCAATGAATATGAAGGACTGCAAATAATATCTCTTGCGTTTTTAAACTCTGTGCATTTCGCCAAGACGCTAAACTAAATCTTTCCATAATCACCTGTTATGCCTATAGTCAACAGCTGCAAATAAAATTATATCGTAGTCCTATCTTTCGATTGATAAACGAATACTACTGTTCCAGTGACATTATTGTTTGTTGTCTCTTGTCCGTGGCTGGCAACCGTATACTGGAATCATCGGAGATAAACTAACGAAAAGGATTCTGATAAATCATAAAACCACGAACGGTTATTGGGCCGGTATCCATATTGTAATCCTGCTTGATATAAGGGGCAACAATACAGCAAAAATGGGACGAACATCCATATTTGCAAAATATGGCGGTGTCAGTGGAACGGAACGGAAAGATATAATTCATTAACGTATAACGTCAACGTATATGCCTTGAAGTGGATAACATATTTCGAAGTGCTATCTAACGCCATAACTTATACCTATTGACGCGTAGAACCAGCTTGCACGATAGGCGTTTCACGCGTTCGAACATACCATTTCTACTAATAGATAAACAATAAGTAGTACGCTCGCGCTACTAGTTAAAGTTTTCAACAAAAACAACAATTTTAAATGATAAAATTCTTGATCGAGTTAGAAGCAACGTTTCCCGCGAAAATTTCCGCAAATTTAGCCCGTAAGCTCCCAGCAAAAAATGCAATAGCAGCGATACTAGAACTTCGCAGTTTGGCAACTTGAAGCAACGAATAAGTGAAGAGGACTATGTGACCAATGAACTATTATTTCGAGGAGCCGAGAGACACCTCATACCATCAAACTATAAGGTGCGATATCCTCATATAATCCTTTTTATCTTTCTGCTAGGACAGCTTCCTTGTGGTATTTATTTCACGGAAAAAAGTGCGCTGTTTGGGATTACACAAAAATAGCCAAAAATTATTTTTATCGAAATTTGGATTGAACAGTTGAGCATTATGAATGAGGCACCAAAATATTCCCAAGAGGATACACTCTGCTTAAGGTATATTTCATTCTGGCAAAGTCAATCGATTTACATTGTCCCACGGTTTAGCGACAGTAGGCTTACCTTCAGAACGACGCCGATTGGAAAACGATCTTCTAATCTGTTCGATTAGGACAAAATCATTCTGGAAATCCTAAGGTATGGATTGGATACTATCACCGCATATGGACATTAATGTTAAATGAACCAAGCTCTGAGCTCTATTGAACTGCGAGTAACTCTTAAAGATGGATCCTCAAGATGAAATACTATTGCGTATATTGTCCCCGTACGTCTATCGGCCATTTCCTCGACGAACTTAAGGCTATGATAGTTTATTGAGGGTCAACATTTCTCGTAACGACTTAAACAAGATAGTATAATTAGCTTCTTAACATGATAAATTATTTCTATTATTCCCCTGTTTACTCTTAATTCGTAGAGCACTAGAGCGATTAGCGCTACACCCGTTCACACGGGGCACAATTAAAGTTTTACAGCCTCAACTTACTATAGAATTAATCAATGTTATAAGTGTCAAGTTAGATGTGACACGTAGAATTAATCGTTGCCAAGCTCTCTTTTTGTGATCCCCACGTTGGTAACGTGTTCCCAACGGTGCTGTTCCAAAGCTTCCTCAGACCGCTCGAGATCTCGACGTACCTCTCGCGCTATTACTGTGGCTGCGATCGCCTGACTGAACACGTTAACGGCCGTCCTACAGCGGTTCCCAATGTTTACATAATTGAGATTAATTGAGATGCTTGGCGGAAATGAAACTAACACGCTCATTGAGTTATACGCTTACCTTATATAAAATTGCGGCGGCGTTTAGCGGAAGACTATTGTAGAAGATATTAACGAGGACGCAGTCTCTCGTTATGGATTTATTAAGATAATCAAATATATATAGGTATGAAAGACGCGGTCGCAGTATAAAATTATTCCGTTAGACTTAATAGATAGTTCTGAAGTTCGGCAACTGACAGGCCTCGCATTACAAATGAGTATGTTCTAATATAATCTATAATTACCACACAGAAATATGAGGAACGTGTCTAGCGATATCGTGGTATACTCAAAAAACCGTGGCGTCAAGTAGAACAAAAACTAGTAGAGATGTGGCGCTAGGGGGACTCGGGGTGCCACCCTCAAAATTACTATGAAAATAAAGAAGATACGACTTGAATAGGAAACGCACGGTTACCTTCTTAAGCATATTGGCCATCTGTTGTACGTCTGTGAGGTACGTGCGTGAGGGAAACAACGTGATATGAGTGAGGCTGAAATGAAAATCGGCTCACATGATCCAATCAATAGCCAGCAGCAGTGGTAGATGTTTGGCACTCAACCCAGCTGTCTGCAAGACCAGCACCATGGTGATCACCACAGCATTCGGAATATCTCAGTTCGCAAAGCTGGTTAATGCAGCGACCACACTGGTATACAAAAAATACATTTAGTAAATACAAATAAAGTACAATGTCACTTAAGGGACAGTCTTCGCTAGCTACTCTAGTCCATGTTCGTGTGACGAGAACGTTCTTCAACGATACCTATATGATTAAAGGCAATAGGGTAAAGGTAGTTATTCGCAAGAAGTCCCGCAATTCACCACGTTATCATTAACTCCAAAAGGAGTTCTACATCGCACGCTAGTCCGAGAAAATTTAGCGATCCAATGTTCGACAAGACTCTTAATTGTATTTTCCATTTCACAATGACTTTTTACATGTATAGAGTTACTCAGATACGTTTTATATATGGATATATAGATGGTGAACGTTAAGCTCTTTCGACTTCAATCGTAGCTGTTACACACCAACAACCCAAGGCATGACAGGAGAAAAGAGAAACTTTGTATGCAATAGTCCGATTGGCCAAATCAAACACAGCTTATCGGTTAAACATAAGCCATCACAGTCCCCCATAGTGCGTGATATACACAGTACCCACCACAGACTCTTTTGAGCAACAAGATTATACCACCAATTAAGAATATATTTCCCTAGCACTAACCACCAAGCACTATTTCCCCTTACCAAAGATGTTCAGTCCATCGGAATACTCAAATTCTCTGTGAAAAACTCGCGCTAATGGAACTTCACGGGAGTTCAGCTCGATGGGAAACACTAAGTAGCCACTAACTAGCATGAACTGTACCATGCGGCTGGACCAGATTTGTCGGGAACATATTCCTGAGGGTTCAATGGTACAGGACACCGCGATGTTGATATGATGTTTATCTCCAGCTAGTTGGGCGCATAAATAGACATCACATAAACTATGCGTTTAAATAAATCAAAAAAAATATGAAAACTACTAACGTACGATTAAGTTGTTCACTAAATAAATACGTCATTATACCCCTATCAAGGACCATATTTGCTTAACCGATCGCGTAATTATTCAGCTGCTTTCATGTAAAGGATCAGACTTTTTCTATGAATGTCGCTAAATTTATATGGCGTTTATTCGTATATTTTATATATTCCATGCGATCGGTTAGCACACAAATGCTTTAGATTAAGGAAGAGTCAATTTACAGCAGAAAACGCGACGTTAGAAGCTCCTTCGAGATCACATCTGACATTTGCTATTCAAAATATAGTACCTATGTCTACTCATCGTACCGTACTAAGTCGAGAGCTGTGCCGACACGTGCACTTCAGGCACGTCGCGGATTTCCCGTCCAGGTGCCAATAATGTCACAATGATCAGTCCAACGAGAGCGGCAATCAGCGTCGACGCTAAATGGTAGATGACCATTACAATAAACATGCGACCTGCCACGCGCAATTCCACCCGCGTCATGGCTACTTCAAAGATACAACAACATATATAAAAGGAGGCACACGGCATGAGTTGTATTTCATAAAGTTGCGTTTGCTAGCGACTCATGCGTGAGCCAACTGGCGGAATTTCATTAAAAAAAATTATGTCGTTTTACAAAGAACTTACGCAAAAGTTCCGTACAATATGAAAATGGATAATTAAATCTCTATGTGCGCAGGCAAGGTACAACTATTTCTTCTGTCCTTTGAGTATATTTTTCGGCATTAAGTTTTACCTAACTGTGTATCGTGCGATGTGGAGTGCGATCAATTTCACATCTGTTTCGGCATATATTCTATAGTAGCCGCAGTGCACGAAAAGTTCGCGGTGAGCGTCACGATATGGGTCTGTACAATGTGACATGAAGTGCCTTTGTCCTGGCTTCAAGTTCATGTGGCTGGAGCACATAGCGACTTCCCGAAATTCACAAGATTATATGTCTTTATGCGCGTAGATTAGGCGATGATTAGGATACATTGGCTCAACACTATACTCAACGGTAGTCGCAGTGTATATAGATAGAATAAGATAACTTAATGACAGGCATCGTTCGACGCTTTTTACGTCATATACATCTGACGACAATCTAGAACAAACACAATTGAATGATGTCTGTTTTAACGAAACTTTCCACTAATTAGCAATCAATTTTTCTTTCAGTTCAAAATTTCAAGATTCTTTCAGCTTGCTTTTTCTTTTATCGATAAGGTAATAAAAAGGCCTAGGCCAGCCACCCTTAAAAAGATTCTCTGTCTAGACGCCTATTTGGTAGGAGTTCGATGGCAGGCACAGTACCCTATTAATACATTAATTTACGGATCGGCGTACCCATGTATCAGTATTTTGCTTACACTGATCCCCTACAGCGGTACCAAACGCAAATTAAAGCAAATAAACTTTCAGGTTAGGCATAAACTCGGCAAAAAGGTCCGCCTAAAACGAACCTATTCGAACTAATGTACAAAGTGCTCTATTGTGCATAGGTTTAAGGCTCATTTGTTTTCTTCGGATAATTTGGTGGAGTCATTTTAAGTGTCTATCGTTGATTTTTACCC